AACATATTTTGTGAACTCGTGCCTTCAATTCCTTCCTGGATTCTCCCTGCTTGGATGTGCTTGTTTGTTTTTACTTTTTTTTTTTTGCACGTGTGTGTTTTTTTGCACGTGTGTTTTTACTTTTTTGCACGTGTGTTTTTACTTTTTTGCACGTGTGTTTTTACTTTTTTGCACGTGTGTTTTTACTTTTTTGCACGTGTTTTTACTTTTTTTTTGCATGTGTGTTTTTTTTTGCACGTGTGTTTTTTACCTTTTTGCACGTGTGTTTTTACTTTTTTGCATGTGTGTTTTTACTTTTTTTTGCATGTGTGTTTTACTTTTTTGTGCATGTGTGTTTTACTTTTTTTGCACGTGTGTGTTTTTTTGCACGTGTGTTTTTACTTTTCTCGCACGTGTGTTTTTACTTTATGCATGTTGTGTTTACCTTTATTTTGTATGTGTGTTTTTCCGTTTTGGGGGCACGTGCGTTTTTCCTTTTTTGGGCACGTGTGTTTTTCCTTTTTGGCACGTGTTTTCCTTTTTTTGGCACGTGCGTTTTCCTTTTTTGGCACGTGCGTTTTTCCTTTTTTTGGCACGTGTGACTTCAGTATTTCTCATTTCCCAACGGCAGATACTTACCGATAAGAACACCATTTCCCCCGCGCGATGAGTCATGAATATCGAAGAAAACCACATATTTGCATGAATAATTAGGTTCCTTGTGTAAATAATGGAGTCCTTGGGAGGAATTGTTCAGCTTGGCAGCGCTTGGCTCCCTAGGCCCTGAGTCGCTTCATTGTGATTTTGTATGGATCTTTTGTTGGCTTTCAGTCAATTTTTTTGGGTACTTTTTCACTGTATGTTTGTCTATCTGTTTGTCTGTCTGTCTGTCTGTCTCTCTCGATCTCTTCTTCTTCTTTTCCTTTCTCTTCTCTCTCTCTCTCTCTCTCTCTCTCTGTCTCTCTCTCTCTCTCTGTCTTCCTCCATCCCCTCTCTCTCCCTCTCCCCCTTTCTCTCCTTATCCCCCTTCCTCTCTTTCTCCTTTACTCTCACTCTCTTTCACATCTTCTGTCACCCTCTTCCTTCTGACAACCAAACAGCTACTTACAAATCATCTTTATTCCCTTTGTTCATCATTCATAAATCTATATATAGTATGCCAACGCAGCCTGAAATATGCATAGATATTTCGTACAGCCTCACACGCAGAATGAAATGACAGAGCTAAAGACACCGGAATTCACCCGATTAATTTTTTTTTCTACATACATTCTTATAGTCACTGATACGATTTTTTGATATGAAAAGTCATGTTTATATTTTACCGTTTCTTTACTGTAGGATGACCGGAAAGGTTTCTTCCTTTTCCAAAAGAAAGAAGAATGAACTTGGCATGTCTTGTTCCTAGTTCATTCCTTTTTTCGTGCCTTTTGCTCTTTATAGTCAGTTCACTAACTTTTTTTTTTTGCTCAGTATACCATGTAATTCAGATTTTTTTCCCTAAGAACGAGAGGTGGCAACAGAAAACGATAACTAACGTGAATGAAATAGGTTATCATCCTTGGACAGGGTGACGCTACTCAAAGACCTAATTTTTCCTTTTTTTATTATTTCATTTATTTATTTATCTATCTATCTTATTAATTCTTTCTCTCTTTTTTCCATTTCCTAGTCCTGATCCCTTTGTATTATCTCTGATTCAGGACTTGATCGTAATTTCTGTATTTTTCGCAGTCATTCAGACGAGCTTAGCTTTTTTGCATTTTTTTTCTTTAATGGGATATTCCCGTTCCTTTCGTTTTCTGTCTTATTGTCTGCCTCTCTCTCTCTCTCTCTCTCTCTCACACTATCTATCACTATCTCTCACTCTCACTCTCACTATCTCTCTCTCTCTCTTTCTGTGTGCGTGTATTTCTCTCCCTATTTGTCTCTCTCTCAATTGAAACACAACAACAATTTCGCACCAATAACAACATTACCCTTAGCATAGGCGCAGGGGTTGCAGGAGGGACGACCGCCCCCCCCCCTCCCACTCTACATGGTGAAAGGCGGCAAGATCTAAATAATTAGTTATATAGACCTTAGGGGGCGGGTCACACCTTCTGCCCCCCCCCCCACCCCTCTTCCTCAACAGTCAAGGTCATTTCCCTGTAAACAAACAGTGTAAAGTTACCCAGCTGATGAGGACAACGAACCCCTACAACTTTTTTTTTTTTTTTTTTTTTTTTTTTTTTTAATGAAATAGGCATTATGGAATTCTCTAAATAAAAATGTCAATTGGAGTGCAGAAATGAATGGGTTTATCTCTTGGAAACTGCTAAAATCTAGGGGATTCCGGGGGCTTCATCTGACCCCCCCTTCCCCAGGACCCCCGTTTTTTTTAAACTAATTTTTTACTCTTTTTTTTTTAAGGGGGAATCTCCTTTGTCCCCCCATTTCAAATTAAGTTTTCTAAGCCTATCCTTGACCTAAGTGACAGTAATCAAAGACCTTTTTTATGTACTTCTTTCTATGTTTGTGA